AAATGAGATATTTTAGAATTTTAATTTTTTCATGGTTAAGTTGTGTACCTTTTGATATAGCCATACTATCGTATAACAGTTCATACTATCACGGCTCAGAGATTACCGAGTCGACTTATCCAAAGTCGACTCTTTCCGCGGACTCCTTATAATGTCTCAGGTAAAAGGCCCAGGCGTCTCTCCCTGTCGACTTCCACACGTCGACTGGAATAAGTCGACTCCCTCTGGAAGGATGGATAAGCGCGTCAAGGTCTATTGACGATTGAAGATGACCCAGTCGACTCGTGTCGATGTCCTGAGTCGACTGAGAAAGTCTCGAGGCTCTTAGATCCCCGACGATTTCGGTATACTTCAACATATCATAAGGAAGCTGTTAAGGATAAGAAAGAACCTATTAAGGATAAGAAGGAATCTAGATGCTCACTAGGAGATGGACGGAATGCGAACCAACCAGGGTATTTTGGACATTTCCAGTAAGTCGGCCGGAGCATTTTGGGGACTTCAGGTAACTGCTTTGCTCCTATATAAAGGAGCTGAGGTAACCCCAAAACCCTAACTCCCATTCATTCTATACTCTCCTCCATTACTGCTGCTGCTCTCTCAGAGCAGCTCTCTTCATCTCTTTCACATACTGACTTGAGCGTCGGAGGCTCTACGCCGGAAACCCCTCCGGCGTTGAGTTCTTGCAGGTGTTCTCGCAGTCCAGCAACGGTTCGGAGGCGATCGAGTCAGATCTGAGCTCATTTCCATCGGTTCATTTCAGATCTGAGCTGGTTTCCATTGATTCACTTCAGATCTGAGAGGAGATCCGTCACCTTTTACAAAAAAAAAAATAATATAAAATTTTAAATTATTTATTAAGCTAATATAATTCTTTTTTTTTTCAAAACGACAGAACAATTATCATAAACTCAAAGAGGGACATAGTCCAAAAACAAGGCCAGTACAACTGGAATACAAACCTAAAAATGAGAGACACACCCGGAGGTGGCCTAGAGCCTCAACAAGAGGAACAAGAACAAAGAAAAAGAAACTAGGGAAACAAATTCCTTCTACTGCCAAAGGCCTAGCAGCTAAACTAAACAACAAATCAAGAGCTACAAGCAGAAGAGAATTGAAGCCAGTCATCATGGGCTGTCTTAATGACTTGAGATACAGGCATCAAGGATTGTTGAAACACCCACAAGTTCCTTGATTTCCAAAGCCACCAAAGGATGTAAGTAGAAAGCTGGATTCTTGCTTCAGTGACTTCAGAATAATCAAGGGAACAGATTTTGAACCACCATTCTTTGAAAGAGTCTGTGCTGCTTAGGAGACCTTGCCATGAAACAGGTGCAATGTCCCAAACTCTGCATGCTCTGGAGCAGGAGAGAAGAATGTGCTCTATAGTTTCAGCTGCATCTCCATAAATGGAACAGATGGGATCAACATTAACCTTCCTTTTCCTCAGAAGAACTGCCACAGGAAGAGTTCCAGAGACACACTTCCATATAAAATGTTTCAATTTTCCAGCAACTTTAACTTTCCAGAATCTGAATTTTACTGATTTGCAGATGGAAGTGCTGGAACTACACTCAGGAATATCAAGGAGAGCAAGCTTAACTGTGGAGAGAAATTTGTAGGTGCAAGCAACAGAAAACAGACCTTTCAAATCTAGCCCCCAATAAAGTCTGTCATGCCTGACTGGATTAAGAGTAGAAATTCTGAGAATTGCTTCACTATCCAGAGGGTCAAATACCTGTCTAACCAACCACTCATTCCAAGAAAGACCATCAGAGTTGATAAGTTCTTTGACCCAAATTAAATGCTCTCTGGCCAAAGGAATTAAAGTTGGGGAGGGCTTGTGAAGAGAAGGCACCCAATTATAATCAGCTATTTGAGTTTTCATGCCATTCCTTATCTCAGTTTTCAGCCACTTAGAGAAAAAAGGAATTACCTCCATCCAACTGTTCCACATCCAGGAACCCTTTGCAGATTTAGAAGCATGAGTGATGGCAGAATTAGGAAAGTATCTGTCCTTCAAAAGTTTACTCACTAACAGCTCAGGTTGAGAAGCAATTCTCCAAAGCTGCTTACAAATTAGAGCCTGATTAAAAACCTGCATATCAAGAAAACCCAATCCTCCATCTCCTTTAGGTAAAGAGAGTAAAGTCCACTTTTTCCAATGTATGCCTTTAGAATGAGGATCACCAGACTGCCACCAGTATTCAGCACACATTTGGGAAATCTCAGAGCATAGAGTTAAAGGAAGTTTAAAACAAGACATAGAAAATATTGGCAGAGCTTGAATGATTGCTTTAAGCAGCACTTCCTTACCAGCAGGACTTAGAAGCTTTGATTTCTAGTTTTGAAGCTTGTTTCTGATAGAATCTATAATGTAATCAAAGACTTCTTTTTTTGATTTGCCAATTCCAAGGGGTAAACCAAGGTACCTGGTTGATTTGTGACAGACAATACCATTGAGAGCATCACAGATTGCCAATTTCAAGGACTCAGGAGTATTCCTGCTAAAGAAGATAGCAGATTTGTTGAGGTTTACAGCTTGCCCAGTAAAAAGTCTGTATCTTTCAAGAATGTTCATAAGAATGACTGCCTGATCAACCTCTGCTTTACAGTAGAATATAGAGTCATCTGCAAATAATGAATGAGTAAGCAGGGGCCCATTCCTAGAAAGCTTGAGCCCTTTAAGATGACCAGATTCAACAGATTGGAGAATCAAAGCTGAAAGAAGCTCTGCAACAATGATGAACAGGTAAGGGGACAGAGGGTCCCCTTGCCTAATGCCCCTGGATGGACTGACAAAGCCTCCCACAGTGCCATTAATTTTAAAGGAAAATGAAGCAGTGGTGATGCACCCCATAATCAGCTTGACAAACTTGCTGTTAAAACCCATCTGAAGCATAATTCTTTGCACACTAGCCCATTCCACACGGTCAAATGCTTTAACCAAGTCAAGTTTTAGAGCCATAAAGAAATTAGGGCCTGAAGTGTGTCTATTCAAAAAGTGAAAGGCTTCCTGAGCAATTATTACATTATCCATGAGTTGTCTCCCCTCTATAAATGCAGATTGATGATCACTAATGCAAGAGTTAAGACAAGATTTCAACCTCTGAGCCAATACTTTAGAAATAACTTTGTAGATTACAGTACATAGACTTATGGGTCTAAAATGACTGACTGATTCTGGATTTGGGCACTTAGGGATTAAAGTAAGAATGGTGTGATTCTAATATTTCAGCAACATACCTGAATCAAAAAAACTGAGAATTGCTGCAATGAGATCAGATTTGACCAGCTCCCAGAAGTGTTGATAGAAAAAGGAGCTCATCCCTTCCTCCCCAAGAGCTTTATCAGCAGGCAATTTGAAAAGAGCTGACTTTATTTCTTCCTCAGTGACAGGCTTAAGAAGGTCATCATTCATCTCAGCTGAAATAGTTTGAGAGATTAAGTGGAGAAGGGAATCTCCACCCCAGCTGCCTTCAGAAGAAAATAGGTTGGAATAGAATTCTGAAATATGGCCTTAAATATCTTGCTGGGAAGTCAAGATTCTTCCTTGATTAGAAACAAGCCTAGTGATTGCATTCTGCTTTCTCCTTTGAAGAGTGAATGCATGAAAAAAACTTGGTGTTGGCATCACCTTCTTTCAGCCATCTCTGCCTTGATTTCTGCTGCCAATATAGCTCTTCCTGAATATGAGCTTTGTTGAGAGCTCTCTTTGTTTCATCCCAGATAACCCAATTGTTCCCCATTTTATCCTCATTCAAAGTATTCATCTGATGGGTAAGCTCTTCAATTACTGCTTGGTTCTGAGATCTAAATGATGAGCTCCATTTGAGTAGAGCTATTCTAGTGTTCTTGATTTTTTCTTTGAGTTTGAAGAAGGGAGTTCCTGAGACTGGAATAAGCCATGCCTGTTTGACTGTATCTGCAAATCCATCTTTGCTGACCCACCGTTTATCAAAATGGAATCTGGACTGTTTCCGATCTGAGAGTAGCCCAGAATTTAGGAGAAGGGTTGAGTGATCTGAAGAACTTCTTAAAATATTAGTCACAGAAGCATTGGGAAAGTTCTGGTGCCAATCCAGTGAACCAAAAGCTCTATCCAGCTGCTCTTCCACTAGCTCATCAGGAACTCTGTTATTGCACCAGGTGAAGGGGTAACCTCTCATGTTAAGTTCCTCCATTTCCATACCATCAATGAAAGAGTTAAATGGTCTCAAACTTGCTGTGCTTCTTGCTATACCTCCTTGTTTGTCTGAAGCCTTACAGATATCATTCCAATCCCCAATAGCAAACCAACAAGAACCCCAGGTGTTCTTTTGCTGCAATAATTCCTCCCATTGAGTTGTTCTAATTATTCTGCAGGGATTCAGGTACACAAAAAGCCCCCACTGAAGAGTGCCAGGAGGAAGAGAGAATTGAACAGCAATAAAAAAATCTTTACAAATGATTTGTTGAATAACAACATTAGAGTCCCAAAAAAAAACTAGGCCACCACTAAGGCCAGTAGGATCAACAATAGCAAGCCTATCTACATAACCTAACTTAGAGCCAATAGATTTAACAAAAGATTTTTGTTTTTTAGTTTCTGAAAGGAAAAGAAAATTTGGGTGATGAGCTTTTTTAAGCTCTCGCAATTGGGAAATTGTAGAGGGCCCACCCAGCCCTCTACAATTCCACACCAGAGCTAACATTGGGAATGTTGGTGCCAATCCAGGCTGGCATCCCCCACCTTCTGTAATTGCAGCTTGCTTTTCTTTGGTACTGATTGGTTTTGTAGAGAGTCCTCAGGAGAGGGAGAATTATCCTCATCCTCCGTTCTTGTCCTTTTCCCTTTTGGCTCTTGATCAGAGATAATAATGCTGGTAGATTCCCTGAGAAGCCTGCCATCTTTGTTCTTCTCCCTTCTCCATGTCCTCAACAGTTGAGTAGTCTGAGATGGGAGGGTTTCACTAAGGCAGAAATTTGAGATAGGGTGAGGAGATTCTGGATCAACTTACATGGCCTTGGCTTTGTAAGATTCAACAATTTGCAGAGATGATTCAACCAGAGCTTCTTGATTGCCAGGAGAGTGAGAGGCAGATGCAACTGAATCTTGATCACCTTCATTAAGAGTAGCAGGTGTGACATCAGGAACATGGATGAGTTGCTGGCTAGTTTCAGCTTGTTGGGAGGATGTTTGGGGATGAGACATGTGCTCATTTTCTTTGGGAGACTCTGTGTGAGGAGTTCCTTTAGAACCTGACGTTGTAGGATCAAACCTTTTCAATCCTTCAGAAACCTTCATAAAATCACCATACTGTCCTTCTTTGAGAGAATTGTTGTTTATGTCGGAGATTCTCTTTGAGCAGCTGCGGTCTAGATGGCGAATCATACCACAACAATGACAGAGATTTAAGAGTTTTTCATATTTGAAGCCAACCTGAGCAGTTTGTTCTCCAAGTCTGATATTAGCTACTCGAGGTAAAGGCTCTTCCAAATCTACAGTGACTAACAGTCTCAGATATTTTCCTCCATGGTTACCAGCACTTGCAAGAACCACATTCTTAACTTGCTTAAATGCCTTGCCAATTTTTAAACCAACTTCGGTGCTTAACCAGTCCAATGGGGTGTTTGTTACTTGGACCCATAAATTAAGCTCATTAAAACATGGATGCTTACTTGAGATGCCTGTTCTCCATTCCTTAAGAACAAGATATTGATTTTCAAAGCTCCAGTTGATTCCAGTGGCCACCTTCATTTTATCTTCTCTGCTTTGAAAGATGAACTGGAAGTAATTCGGGCTCAATTCTTTTATCTCCATATCCTGAGAGAGCCTCCATATGTTCGTCATCGTTCTCTTGACTCCAATCCAGCTTGTTGTTTTGTCCCCAATTATTTTCCCAAAAAGACTTCTATTACATTCATCCGCACTTAATGTGATATCCGATCTTGCTATATTAATATAAGTGGCTTCTTTATCTGAGAGAGAAAAAACTCGCAATTGATTCGATAGATCTTCATCTGGGTTTTCTGGCATTGTGCCCAACCCTAGAACCAGTAAAATGAAACGGAGATTGAATATGGAGAAGGAGAAAAGAGAGGGCAAGAAGGAGCTATGAGAACACAACCAAATATCTGGAAAAGAACCGAAAATGTGGCCGGCGATCGGAAAAAATCCCTAGCTCCCACCTGAGAGAATCGTCCCTGAGCTCCCACCTGAGAGAATTATTACTTATTGTTTTTTTTATGCGACCTAAGCTAATATAATTCAAACATATTTATTTTATTATATATTTTAAGTGATTTTCATTGATGAACACAATTCATATCTACAACCATGAGATGATAATAAAATTAATCAAAATAAATTTATAATTATAATGAATATCTTTTAGAAATTATGTCAACAAAATTACTATGAAATTGGTGTTATGGTCTTATTCAAAATATATGTAATCCATCAATTATTATATTTGAGTCAATTTATATGTAACGATAGAGATACTTAATGAGTATTAGCAATTCTAAAGAAAATAATAGTTATTTTTCACATATAAGATATGCTGATAAATAATGCCTACTTACTGCGAAGGTTTAATGATAAAATATAGCCAGTATCTTGTACGAGGTAGCAATATTAGCCATCATCTTTACGAATTGGCAATATTAGCCAGCAACTTTCAAAATTTGGGAGTTATTACCCATGTCCGACCAAATTCGGTGGCTAATGTTGCCACTGCGTAAATAAATACTAACTATATTTTGCAATTTATCTGTCGAATTTGGTTGAATTTGGGTAATAATCTCGAAATTTTGAAAGTTGTTGGCTAATATTGCCAATTCGTAAAGATAGTGGCTATTATTGCTACCGCGTACAAGATACTGGCTATATTTTATAAATTAGCCTACTACGAAATATAAACGATTTTTTTTTTCATTTATAAAACTACGTTATTTATGGTAATATAGATTTGTACATTTTATAGATATAAATTTTGATTTTTATCAACCTATATATTATTTTAGTGATTACCAAATGCCACTTATGGTACCTAAGTGTAATTTTTATTTATTGTATTTATTAAAGATATATAGTTAGAATTCTATTTTCACATAAATGAATAACTTTTAATATATATATATATATATGTATATATATATAGGGATTGGATCCAATGAGTACACATATTTAAAGTGTGAATGTGAAACCCATTCCTAGCCATTAGATTGGTACATTATGTGTGGCTAAGATTAACTCTTCAATTAAATAATAATTCTTTATTTTGATTACTTATTTCTTTATTTTATTATTTTAATT